CCAAATCCATAATGTACTGCAGAACTACAGAAGAATGGAAGACAAATGGTGTGATTATAAGGCAGCTCTGAAGTGGGTGTAACCTCAGTCATTGAAAAGTACAAAATTCACACAGGGGAAAAAAAATGGAGTATAGTATCTTCAATGTGAGCTACCCAATTTAATTGCTACTGCCTTATTCCAACAGTTTCTTCTGTTTGCTTTTTCAATTCCTCAACCAAAATTTCACAGGACACTCTAAGGTCCCTTATAGAAAGCATTGGCAGTGTTCCCTCCACTAGAATGAACTTTTTCCCCACTCAACACTAGGTCTATTTCAAGTGTTATTTTCTTCTGCGCTCCGTATTTCTCCAGTGAAAATTCATTATTTCTTTCTCCCAGCAGGCTTTACCAATCCCTTTCCATGAACTCTAACCTTTTCCAATGAGACACTGTGATTTCTATATAAATATGCATTTAAAGTGTACATAATGAAGGGAACAGGACGAAACGGGAGACTTGACTAGTGGTATAAAATCTCCCTGCCAGAGCCCTCTGGCTGTGGCTCTCAATCTCATACACACACTGGGATCACCTGGACAATTCTGTAAATATGGGGCTTGAGTACAGCTGGGCCACTGAGGTTTGTAAATATTCTCCACGTTGATTCTGATGTGCAGACAAGACTTTTGCATTTGTTTACAGAAAACATGAAAAAGAGGCAAAAGATTAATATTGGATTTTAAACAGAAGGAAAGATCTGGTTGATACCGATAATATGGAGCTACTACAACTCAACTATGAAGTGGCTGCTCTGGAACAGAAGTACTGAAAGTAGACAGTGGGGGAATTAAAAGGAAATAAATGATACTGTAGAAAGTTTTGGAAGTGAAGAATTTAGTGGCACTAAAATACTGTACAATTGCTGAAACTGGAAAAGAAGGCTTGGAATGAGAGCCAATCTCACCTCCACCACTATTTCAGGCTTGTTCTTGGCTCTAATGGCAGAGATGGGAGGTGCAGCAAATTCAGAGAGAGAAATCTAAGAAAGATGATCTAATTTGGCAAGTTTTCAAAGATGATAATCTGATATGTGGCAACAATGGTGCGCTGCTGGATCAGAGATGAAACTCAGAAGTGTAGAGGAATTTTAAGATCAGGGAAACGTGGTCATCAACAGTGATGAAGGATATTCACAACAGCATCTAAAATCAAGAGACATAGTATCATGGAAATGTGCCACAAATGACAGTAACTATGGCTAGCAGTGTCCCTCTAAGAGGGGAGATTTAGGAGGACAGGCAGTTGGGGAATAACTCCTACACTTGGGAAGAAAAGCAGGTCAGCTGCTTCGTCACCAATATACCTTACTTCTCCCCACAAAAGTTCTTGCTTTTTAGAAATCCAGAGACATAATTTAAGATATTCCTGTGCTGGTAAATGTAATACTTGAAG